AGAATAACTTGCCCTAAAGTTCTCATACAGTAATACATGAAAACACAAAGCTAAAATGTCAATTTGGTGAATTACAATCATGTTATCTTATGACTACCTAAGGATGAATTGATTTTAGTATTTCAGATAATGGTTGGCCTTGTCAACAATACTTCTAATCAAACACAAACATCATGAAAATGGAGACTGTTCCTTTCTAAGAAATTCCACTAATACTTAGGCAGAGTATTACATGACAAACTGCAGTAAATCTGGTTGACATGTTCAGGTCTAAAATGAATTTTTGGTCAAATTAATCTCAAACTGGTTATATTTGTATTGAAATTAATCCACAAATGAAAAAGATACAAATCAGTTTAGCTTAAAATTTATTAACTTGAAATTAATTTAAAACATGACAATGTTAATGATTTCAGGCCTACTTCACACACGTAAGCTGCCCCTCTGGCTGGTAGTGTTTTCTGTGTAGTCCAAGATCCTACTAGCCAGATGAACAAGACTGCAAACATTCAAATATGCCTATGGAGTGACTCCACGACAGTGTAAGACTAACATGGTATTTAGAAAGGTTTTCCATGAATCAAGAAGTAAATGAAATGAGTTAAATTCACTTTAAATAGACAAAGTACCCCTAGCCTGTGGTATTTTCTAGGCCACTCAAGATCCAATGTGTTAGAGGGACACAACTAAGAAACAAGAGGATATTAATGAAAAAGTGATTCTAATATAGTGTAAGACTAAATGGAATGCCAAAAAGAAAAATTCAAAGCAAACTGTAAGAAAAATTTGGCAAAATAGCTTAAATACGCAAGCTGTACCTCTAGCTGGCTGTATTTTCTAAGCCTCTTAAGATCCTACTGGCTAGAGGTACAAGACCAAGTGAAAAAAATAAATATAAATTTACTCTCGTAAAAAGTGAATCCAAGGAGTGTAAAACTACAACTTGGAGAGCAGAAAAGTAAAATGTGGAACAAACCCTAATAAAAATTGGCCAAAGTCGACCAAGTATGAAAGCTGAGCCTCTAGTTGGTAGTATTTTAAAAGCCCCTTCAGATCCTACCAGCTATAGGTACAGGACCTAATAAAGATAAATAAAGTTTTTTTTTTTTAGAGGGCACGGTAATGAATCCTGCAATCTGATTGGTTCTTTACGCGGTCAGTATTTTCTTATCTCTGCCCATGGGCCACAGTAACCCTTTCGTGAGTCGCGAGTCGCCGAGTACATCTCAACTTTCGTAGCCATTTTTCATAAATATACCTCGTTTTGCTGGCTCGGCAGTATTTTTAAGAAAACACATTGGTCACTACCTCAAGCCGACTTATGAATCCTCTCTTTTCTCTCTCTCACATCACTTTGGTTGACAAAAAAATATTGGTTTCAGAATGAATTTGTACAAGCAATAGTGTCATTACGTTGATTGATAAGCGGCCTAAAAAACCGTCTGCAATTGATTTTAATCATTCACAAAAAGTACTTAGAAAGTTAAAACGTGAGGTATTTGGTTACAGGTAAACTGAACAATGGAACTTTTATTCATTTAATATCTGAATTTTCTCAAACAATTTGTTCGTAGTGAAAGAGTGAGCGAAGTTTTAATTTCAGTTTGACAATAAATATATGCTCTTGGTGAGTCTTTCCAAGTCCGTTCAATTTGGACATTTGGTCCATAAACTGGGCAACAGAAACTGAAGGAATTTATTGAGAAAAGGCTGTATGAAATCCCCTTGTGTCTTGATGTAATGTGCCATTTGAGTTTAGTTTGTGTGGAGGAAAGATTAGATTTACACATGCCGTTGCAGCAAACAAACAAGCAAACTCTCACAACTTCAAAATAAAAAATTTGAATTTACTCACAATTACTTTCCTAGCCACTTACTTAATGAACAGAGATAAATCTTTGTATGTGATTGAATTGTCAATGAGAGTGAATAATACTTTCCATCAGATCATTGACTGTTTTTTAAGAAAACATTGTCATGACAGACCTTACCAAACTAGTTCCGTTGTTTTTCAAATCTTCTTGCGCTTTTTTTTCTTACGCGCTCTCTAATTGACAGGTGTCAGATTGTGACAGATACTTGTAAAAATAATCTTTCAAACTTTGTTTGGAAGCCTTTTAATCACCTTTATCATTAAGCCAGTGAAAATGTTTCAATGAAGCATCTCTCTTTAATTTTTATCACCTCTACTTTAACTACCATTTAGTTGCTCAAAAATTGTTCAGTTTATGGAAGATCTTGCTGTATTTATAGCCCTAAATCATTCGCGTTCTTTCAGAATGTATTTCATTAAGTTTAAAAAAGTATATATATGTTTTTTACCAGCTAAGGGTCAGTCCGTATGGTGAATAACTGTGACCTCAGCCTTGAAAATGCTGCCCTTGGCCTATGGCCTCGGGCAGCCTTTTCAAGACCTTGGTCACAGTTTTTCACCATATGGACCTCACAACCAGCAAATAACATATATGTATATGTATTCTTGAAAAAAGTGATTCAAAGGAGTGTGAGAGTAATTTGAAGT